CATTTTCTTATCCATGGTTCACTTTCTAAAAAGGCCATTTATTTCTGTCTAGAATGATGTACAAATGAGCGTTCTTGCTCATTTTGCCTCCGAGACGTGAGCAAAAACGGAACGGAAAACATGAACTTTTGCAATAATCTTGCGCCACTCTTGCACAAAACGACGATAACTTTTCTAATTTCATAGACAACAGAAGACTTTTTTCAGTCATACCATACAGTTGCATGTCATACCATACTGTTGCATAACAATCAAAAGGGTCCACATTAAACTGAATTATTTGCTTTTGATACACGCCCACTGGACCCGCAAAAACTGATATTCGGCAAAAACTAAATCATGTATTTGAAAATGAGGAGGACCCAAACTAAAAATGCGTATTTTGCGTAAAAGATGCGCCGAAAATGTACAGGGCATCCTAAAAAAAAGGCGCAGGACATCGCGTTTTAAAGCCAACTTAGCTGCACCACCGCGTAAACGATTAATTAATATGAATGCTGATGGAAGCAGGTGTTGCGAAATCGCGAAAAGAAGCAAAGAGGAGCGGGATTGAAGAACGGTTCAGGAAAAATGCATTTTTATTTGTCAACAAGCGAGCTCACAAGTGGTCACAGTCGGTCACAGCACACCGTCCGCCGCTGCAGTTTTTTCCGCTTCATGCTTTCATGATTGTTATTCATATTCGTTAGTTGATTTGTTGTATGAGCGGCAACGTTCATTGGTCGATTTATCTGCAGCAATTAGAAGAGCCAACTGATAGCTTGGTCAATGTCGTGTGTCGGTCGGGTTGGTGATAAGCTGGACTTTGAGCTGGCGATTTGAATGCTTCTACCTGGCGCCAAGGATAAATACCAGAAACTTTGGGGATTTTTCGCTTACATGCTGCGGCTGCAGTCGATGAACGGTATGTGTTTGAAACGTTACACCCAACCAACACCATGAAACCCAATCGGAGATTTGTTCAAATGAATGTTGTTTGTTGTTAGTGCTTACTAATCAAATCTTGGTTTATTGGCTTATGAAATGTGCAAGATAAAAACCGACTTGCTAATGACTGCCAAGTTATATTGGAAAGAAATATTTTAGTGTTTCACGGTTTCCTGGCGCGCAAACATGCAGTAGTTTAGAATTTTTGTTTGTTTGGGATGGTGATGCGCGCTGTAGGTGATTCTGGCCGGTTTCAATAACTTTTTCTAATGCTGCAGAAATTCGTGGTCGCTTGACTAATTAGTGTTAATTCGTGTTTTTGCCTTAATCGTCTCAAAATGTGCTGGTTTTGTTGTCGCTGCCGCAAAAAGCATCAGGATGATGATTTCATTTATGATGTCCAGAATACTAAGCAGGTGATTTTCGAACAAACCAAACAGTTTGTGCGTTCAGGACAATAAATCAACTAAACTAATTTAAAAAAAACGCTGCTTGCAGAATGTAGCAAAGTTGTATTGTATCGTTAAAGAAATTGCATTTTCAACACTTCGACCCTGTAAAACTTCTTTGCGATTTTCGGCCAATTGATGCAAAATGCTTGATGGAAATCGGTGCTATTGATCAGGAAAATTTAATAATCGATCCTCATGCTCAACAAGGTTCAATGTGCCAGCTGTATGCACGTTTCCCGGAACCATTATTATGTTTATACTTACTTGCGCCTCTATCGAAAACAATAACGACTTCTCAAAGTATACATATAGAAATGTTATTATCCGGAGAACGCAAATAGCGACGGGGAAATGGTTTAGAACGATTTCTGGGTCTCATTTTTTATTTAAAAAATCCCGGTTTTTATATTAAGTTCCCAATAAATTTCACAAATAGTTTCTAAGATATTGAGCTGAATTTCGACTTGAGGATATGATCAGGGCCGGATTAACTGCTTAAAATGGGCCAAAAATCACGATTATTTAGAATCTGATACTTCTGGCGTAGTTTTTGTGAATTTTTCGGTCAAAAATCAAGAATGTTTTTTGTATTCAATGGATAGTTTTTGACCTAAAAAGCTCGTTAGAATGCATTTATAAATGATTTCGATCTATAGTAAGGAAAATATCCTCGGTTTAAGAACGTGAACACCCAAAAACCACTTAAAATGGACTGAAAAAATCAATAACTTCGGATCTAAAGCTTCTTTTCCCCAAATTCATTGTTTGAATGATTGAATATTTTTCGATTCAGGAATGTAGGTATATCATTGTTCGTCCCACACGCACCTCTAGTTGAAAAATCATAAGCGAATGAATCAAACATTCAGTAGCGTAGGTGGCCTCGGTTTTCTCACTCCCGCCTGCTGGAGTGTATAGAGATGCAACATGAACTGCGCCTTGCTATGTTCTAACTTGATACTCTTAGGGCTAATATTAATTGAATTTTAAGAGAGTAGACTTTATGAACGAAAATAAGTGTCGCCATGCCAAACAGATGGGAGTTTAAATTTCGGATAATTTGTTCAAGCTGACTATTATTAATAATTTCGTTCGGTTTCGCTGAATTATTTTTTTGTCCTGAATCCATTGGGTGAAGTTAATCTAACACCGCAGGAGCAGATAAAACAAATCAAACGCTTGATTTCCATGCCGCCGTCAATAGAGATTGAATGAAGAAATACCATACATTTTATAGCTGACCCTGACGAGTTTTTAAGTAAATCATTGGAAAGTGTGGAAAAGAGCAATGAAACCTTCTGCATTTTGAACAATTATGAACAATCTGATGGTTTTCAGGGCGTTGTGGCAAGATATTTGGTTCCGACGCTTCGCCAGCACTCACGGCAATTTTTTCAAAAAGTGTTTGTTTCGGGTGGAAGTGAGCATCTGACTCAACAACCTGATGTATTTAAATCAGGTTGTTGAGTTCAGTGGTTTCCACTTGATTTGTGACTCCAGTTTTAAGTAAAATTGCCTTCTGTTAATTTATATGCACTCTTCAACACTTTGCTGATTTAGTGGACAAATGGAAAAAAGTTAAAAACAGTAAATCGTTTAGTATTCAGTGTGCATCCTCTTGTACGTTCTAAACGGGGCCACAGTGATTCCACTAATTTAACGGTAATTTCAGTCGACTATCCATGCAATTCTTTTGCAACCCGGAAAATCTTCCGTAATTCAGGACAGTTTAGGAGTTTAAAACTAATTTGATCTTATGCGAGGGAGGATTGGTAATTGTTCTGTTAAATCCCTGGATGGCAGCTATTTGGAGGCCATCGACACCGAGCGATAAAAACCGCGTAAATCCATTTATTTAACTACTGTAAACAATATAAAATCCTCTAATAATTCTACAAGCCTACCGTGGTATGGTGTTACGTTGACAACTTTATGTGTATGTGTATGCAGATGGTTTTATGAGCGTTAACATTGCGCTACACTTTCGGCAAATGACACACAGAAAAATGTAATTCAAGTGAGTTTTCCTTAACTAGTGACTTGGCTGAAATCGGGGCGTTTCTAATCCTGGCTGCTTTATTGGTATTTCAGTGAAGAGTGAAGAAACATTTCCGGTTTCCGACAAGAGATATTATTTGACCATTTCAATACCTTGGCAATTTACCAATCGGTCCTGCAAATCACCTTATTACTTTCACTTTATTGCCGCCGGCATACAATTAGTCGATGTTGCCCGGAGCCGACTACGGGCCAACTTTTTCAAACAATAATTCCTGGTTCCGGATAAGCCGCATGTAGGGACGCGTTTTTTGCTACCATTTTACCAGAGGAAATTTTGTCTAATTTACATTATTAGCTTATTGACTCAAGCGGCAATGGCACGTAATAGTCTTAGAGTTAAGCAAAAAACTTTCTCTTGCAGTAAAAAATGCGCTCTGCCCGTCATCTGCGTCCATATGGTATTAATCTGTTACAACATCAATTTAGAGGCGAGTTTTACATAATGCGTCTATCTTTGACTAGAGCACGCAATTAACATAGTCATATAAAAATCGTGCATCGGAGAAATTTGTGGTTTTTTTTATCACCAGTTCTAGACTTTTTTTATGGCCCTTGTTTGCGTAAATTATGCAAAATGCTTTTTATTAATATCTAAATACCGTAACATCACGAATGGGACTTGTGGCCTTTGAGTGCTGATGGAAAAACCTAAATTGATTTAACTTAACAACACTTCTTATGTTGCACAAAAAGTTATCGTTTTTCCGCTGTTAATTAAATGTTTTACATGTTGAGAGAGAAAATGCCGACATTAATAACAAACAATTTCTAGTAATACGGGTATTTTTTAAATAAATTATGGGCCAATGTTAAGAAACACGTATCTAATACCTGAAACTGGCAATAGAAAGTACTGGATACAGTGCGAGTTAACGACATATTAGATTTCCTGCATGCAGTAACAAGTTTTACTAGATAATTGCCGGTATTGTTTAAAACTTTATTGTAACTGTGCCCAAGCACCGTAGTCGAATAATAATAACGATATTAAATGGTTTTGCATACATGGAACCGGATTTTATTGTTAAAAGTGTCTTTTTTATGGGTTAACGAGACTCATTTGAACATTTTTGGAATGATGTGAAAGCATAATCAAATAAACCGAAGTTTTATTGTGCAACAAATCTCAAATCGTCCTTGTTGGGTTGATGGACGATAGTTCAAAACGGGTTCTTTGCGGGCTGAGAGGGTGTTGAAATGCAATTTGAATAACTTGGCAAATGATGATTTCTTCGACACCACATGCATCGAAAAGTGCTTTCTTACGGATATTTTAAAAGTATACCAAATTAAGATTATTTTCGGTCGCACATATATCTAATAGGTGATTGTTCATCATCAAGCCTGAGCCACCGTATATAAATTATTGCGTCGTTCTCGATAAATTCTGAAAACAACAGTCGATAATTTACAAGACATTCAACGTTTTCAGTGCCATTAACTTGAAGAATAATCATACGTTATAACATATGTGTGTTGAGCCAACCTGACATTGCATGGTGCATTTTTTCAAGTTTAAACGACTTTCGCGACTTAAGTTGATGTTAATTCTTCGCAAATTGATCGCAGGCCATTGAAAATTTCATGTGGTGGAGCAGGGCTGGACAGTTGCATCCGCAGATCTGAAGTTATTCGGATTTTGGTATTTTTTCTCCACTCGCAAAGAGACAAACTGGGCACTTTTTCCAGCTAAAGTCGGTTGTTCGATTTTCATTGGTGCGCGGTTGTCGTACATATTACAATTGGCCGGGATTTCAATAGAAAGTGAACCGTTTTTATGTATGGACACATGCCACTTTAGCTTATATATTTATTGTTTTAAAATTTGAATAGCATTTCATTCGTCGATTAGATGAAAGTTGGAACAAGCTCGCGCTTTTTTGCAGTTTTTATTGATGTCGGCCATAAATTGCGTTTTTTCACGAGAAAGTTTGTTGATTCTCTATAAACGCCTCTATGGCTTTAATTTATTAATTTGTCCTGCTTGGTGATTGGTTCAGTATGAATAAATCGGAAACTCTTTTAATTCGGGCCCGATTTGGATCATTGRAAATTCGTTCTAAGCGTTTGAAGGTCGATAAGACGAWTTTTCAAGACAAATGTTATCAATGTGTTCTCTGTGGATTTAAGGTCGATATTCTTTTGGAAAAACAKSTTTTTGCATGTGGAAGTTTTCTGCGTAACTTGATATCGGGTCGATTTGAAAAYTWWGRAATTTGTGSAAWAACAGGATTTKCTATAAAAATTGCAWCTMSARAAATTGCAATCGGTTAATCAATTAAAACAATCAGATWGTTTGYAAGTKGCATTCTCGACACATTCACTGTCTATAAGAAATTTYGTATTTGCAACAGTTTGGAAYGAAATGGGCTCTGARTATATTCAGATCARAAATAATTATTTCGGCAACTTCTACCATGTTTTTCAATMGGTTCGTCAAAATTTAAGACATTTTGAGAAAATTTTCATTTTTTCAAAAAATGGACGTTGACTCGAWTCACATTGTTTGGTGAATTTCGATAAATATTGAAAARAGCGGTTCATTCAACTCGAACCAACCAATCGCTGCCTAGACCGCAGGCCAATAATCTAGTTTAAGCAGGACAAATTAGGAAGAAAAGTGCACAACTGCATGTAGTTCTCTTAGCAAGCACCTCGAAACGCATAATTCCAAGGCAATAGGCAAAACCGGCCGCTTGAATAGTAGGCCTTTTTAGACCTATATTTGCCCAATTAATTTCCAGTATGTAAAAAAACGAAAACCCGGGCAATTTGTAATTAATGCCATGCAAACATAGTTATTTAATCCGCCGACTTATATAATCCGTTGCAAGGTATCGTGCAATTCTTTTATTGGCCCAATTTGTATAATTCATTGCGATCTACTGTGCGAATGTTGGCTCAGTGCATTGTTAATCAGGATTCTGTTCAAATATGTTACGTGAAGACGTGCAAAAATCGAATTTCTAATTATTCAGTTGCCACTTAACAGCCCTAGTGTTGTAAGCATGTCTTTACCAGAGCCTGTTGGTTTATAGGTTATAGGCTAGGAAGCTTCACCATATTTTTCCCACAAAACAAAATGATTTACCACTTGTTTATGATAATTATAATTCAAAGATCAGTTGTTTGAATTGATGTTCATTTATTAAAGGGCCGCATCTATTAATAATACGTTGCCGGAAGCTTGTTTAAAACCCATGGGGGCTTGATTATCATTAATTGTAATATCTACTAAGCTGCGCCAAGTATCGTCATTTAAACGAATTCATTAATAATGCGGCCGTTTAAATGTACCCTCGATGGTAAGTTAATTGTCGTGACCCACTAATTTAGCTGATAAACGGCGTGTTCTTTGCGTGGGGTTAACCAGAAGATGCTCGGATATTCATCATTCAATTTGTCCGTATTATCAGCAGTTTGGGTATAAATAAATAGTTGCTATCGCATCCGAAAAGTTCATTATTTCTGTTGAAAGATTAGCAGATTAATCCGTAAAGCTGTATAAACCTAGTGAGTAAACAGATTCATCGATTCTGGAAACAGCACATGGATATCGGATCTGCCAAAGGCTTTGGATACAGTTACATTGGCGGCGGCACAAGTTTCGTTATGAGGAAGCGAGTTTTGGTGATCTTTTAATTATCCTGCATAGTTCTATCGAATTATTACTTATGTGCCATTTTGTGTCACGTTTTTATCCAGTTAATACCCGCACTTATAGTTTCAGCTGTAAGGCCGCAGTTATCATCAAATTAAAGGGATTATCATCTTAAAAAAAGATAAATCACTGACTAGATTTTTTCGATTGAAGCACTTCAGATTTTTATTTTTCCTGTTTGCTCCGTGATTGTGGCGCATTGGGGCGACTTTATCAGTTGGAAGTTGAAAGGCAACAGTCACGCTGTTCGCACTTATTTTGTCGCTCATTTGAATGTGCGTAGAGTTTAAGTTTTAGTTTCCCTTTAACAGAATAATGTGCCTCAGTTGACTAGTGTTTGACTGAAACAATGGAAAACAGTGAACAAAGATTATTCGACAATAATGCAGATAAAAACAGAAAAAATGTGGGTAGTGGTCACATATTTTTAGCAAGTGCTTCTGAGATAGACGACAAAGATGTCCCGGACGAGGATGAGGAAAAAGGGTCACTTGTTGAAAACAATTTGACTGTAAGACAATATATTTTGAGTTTGAAAGTAATTTATCTAAGTCCTCACTCATAAATGCTTGCAAAAGCGTCAGAAAAAACTTCTGAGTAGATCACCAAGCTGTCGGAAAAAGTATGTCCTTGGGAACGCCTGAAGAAGGAAATAAATTTCTCAAAAGTTTGGCAATCGACCCGGAAATTTTGTTTCTGCATATCACAAAATACCTACCAGTTCTTCGTTCTTGTTGCAGGACTTATCGCCTATTGATCAGCCCATAGTCCAGAGCAACACCATAGAGGAGCTGAAGTTGAAATTGGAGAAAAAGGATCCTTTGAGTAAGTTTTTGATTTGATTTGGCTAACGAAATGAGAAAATCTTGGCGTTTAGTCTCCACCCTTTGATTATCGGCCAGCCAGAAACGTTTAACTATTAGAAAGCGTTTTATCGTCTAGGCCTATCCCATTTAATTTATTTTTGTAACGCCATTAAACTCATGAACGCTTTCTTGTCCGACTGACCTTCCTCTAGAAAAAAAATAGAGGATAACATTAGTCTATTTCTAGAAGAAGGCCAGCACGCAACAGACAGATATTATAAAATCGCAAAGGTTACCACTAGCCATCGCCTACCTGCAAGAAAGTCGACTTTATGAAGGAAATTAGGATTAATCGATTTAAGGTGTGGAACTGCTACTAATGAGGCCCTTTAGTTCTTGCAAAAGGCGAACGTTTTAATTGTTTTACCGCCCTTTTGAGGTGTGAAACTGCACAAGCAAATTATTGTCATTTGCCGGATTTTGCCTATCGAATCGATTAATTAGAGCAGCCTTAAAAGTGTTGGCGATAAATCAGATTACCGTAAATTGATTGAATATTTCGATAAAGCGGTTGCACAAGCGCCTCTCCTAAGTGGATTAGGATTAGGGAAGATATAAATAGTTTTTTTTTCGATAAATGCATCCAACAGCGGTTAATAGAAATGTGCAATTTATGTGAGTTTTTACGCGACTGTTAAATGGATTTATGGATGTTTGGAGATTTTTATCGTCTCATGAAATTGGCGATGAAAGTGCGGAGATCTAAGTGGAACTCTTATGCATTTCGAAAGTTTCTGGGTTAATCATCTGTTAATTTGTTGTAGGTTTGAAACATCGGGGTTTCAGCACTCAAAATGTGCCCTAGAAATTTGTAATGGTTGTTTATTATTGATGAATCATCAAAGAAAAAAACTCGTTTTTTTAAGCTGCGACCTTGTGAATTGAGCGAATAGAGTCATTGAACCGCTTCAGACACATGAGAGATTGTCCCAAAAATCTACCTGATCGTCTTCAGACAAGCAGGTAGGACCCAACCAGCGCATTTCTTCGCAGAGTGCAGAACCCGCTTGGGATGGCATTCTGGTTACGAAATGTGGGCGACTCCTCAGTCCACCATACCGCCAGCTGCCGAGTTTTCTTATTAATCAGTTCGCGTTTCCTTCCTAATCGAGTCGAACGCATGCCGACGTGCAGTGGTTTCGAAAGTGAAAATACTTGCAACGTTCCAGGTGGGATTTCGAGCTAAATTAACACTGCCAGTGAAAACAGGTACCCGGTTTGAGCCCTGATCTTTTGTGTCGGAACCAGCGGGTTTTCAACGGCGGTTTTTTTCAAAATACAATACATTTATTCATGATTTGTCTTTAAAAGGGGTCCAGGCTCTGTGGGGCTTCTCATTTACCCCCCCGAAGAATGAAATGTTCAGGGAATCTAACAAAAAAGCCACCAAAAGTTCAAAGGTGGAAATTTTGAGGGGCGCCTCAGAAAGACGCAATTTGAAAGTGTTTTCTTCATTGAAGTTCGCTTTAATCTAGTAAAAATGTTATGAAGTTTGAGCAATTTGAGCACAAATATGGCGACAACTTAAAAAAACAGGCGACAAACAGGTTTTGATCCAAAAACCAGTCTCTGTTTCATTTGTCGACGTTTTGTCATTTTTTTTGGCCTGGGTGGCCTAAAAAATCTCTACAAAACAATAGATTTTTGAGTCTTTGTGACCGCAGTAAAGCCATTAAATTTCATTGTTTAATTTCATACTTTTTCCACGAACTTGCACAGTAAGTTCTAAGTGTAAAACTTTGGATTTTCACACATAAGCTCGTAAAAGGCTTGGCTTCTACCAAGTGTTTCAAATTATTCACTCACTCAAAAACTCCATTTACTTCCTCGTACAATTAACTCGTCGTTTGGGTTGGTTATTTAATAAACTTGAAATATTTCTTTTCAATTGAATTCTTATTTTTTTGGACGTTCAATCATTTATTGGTGTATAACCGGCGATTTGTGGTGTAGTAGGCCGTAATTTCCTCGTGCAGGCATAGGCGACTTCTGTCAACGGGCCTATATGCGGACTCGGCCGGAAAGTATTTAATTGCGAATTGCTGTCTTCCAAGAAGTAATGACAGAATTTACTAAAAACGTTGTATAAATAAAGTTCAAAAGTGTCTATCAAGATAATTAATGTAAAAAATAAGACAAAAGTAGGGTTTCTTCGCAAATTTCTAGAAACTGGTGAGTTTGTCGGGCTTTTAGCCACGACGGAAAAAATGTGAAGCCAAAGTTTTGCAAGCACGTTTCTTCTTCAGGCAAACGTTGAAAAACTTGAAAAATTTCGAATACTTTCCAGATAAAAAACAATCCAACAATTTTCCATCGAATGTTGGCCAAATAACTTGGCCAACATTCGATGATAAACATTAGAAATACATTAACGAAATCGTTAAGTGAGTTGTTAAAGCAGCCTACAATTTGCGTAAATTGTAAACAAGCCGCGAATGAGAAATGTTTTAAAATACACTCCAAGTTAAATATAGTTAGGTCAGTTTGCAGTAAATATAACTACAGTTTAGCGCAGTTGTAGGTAGGTATTTCGCGGACAGGCGTTTAATATTGAACAAAACATCCATTTCCATTCATTTGAAACATCTGAATTTCAAGCAACTTTCCATAGATTAGAGTAAGTTAAGTGCCACCGATGGCAATTAATTGGTAATTTCTCTCAATGAGGGCTATCATGAATTAGATCGCTGATTCTGAGTGATAATTTGTAGATTAGCAAGTACCACTTAATCTCTTACTTGCTACGGTTTTGCCTGTTGATTGCCCCTTAGAAGTTTACGTAAATATAGGAATAGTCAACCCACGACCACAGTAAAACCATATACGGTGGTTGATAAGAGGACTAATTCCTCCGTGAGGATCAAAAAATAGGAACTGCTACGTCAGTATTTACATTTTATATATGTACAGGTACCTACTATCATTTAAAATGAGATAAGAGTTTGTATACTCCAAAAGGAAATTGCTTAGTTGAACATCGTTTTTTGTGCGGAACGTTTGTGAAAATTCGTGGGTTTAATGCCTCTGGATACTGATATGGTTATCATTATTCCTAGAGGTGAGTGACTAGAAGGAAAAATCACCAAAGCAGTTACTTCACAGGCATTAAGCGTGTTGTTCGGTCGGCGACAATAATTAAAACAAGTAGTTTATTAAATATATGGCCGGTGATTGTTCTGGTTTACTAACTTGGGCGAGTAGGCACGAATAAACATGCTTAATCTAGCACAAAAGCCATTGCGAACTGACAAAAGAACACCACAAAATCCCACTAGGGTTCATATTTTAAGAAAATCAGCCTAATAGTCATTGGCTTTTCTAGACCATTCCCGGTAAGCAAATGTTTGCTTGGGCAATGATAAGACTCAGTTTACACAGTTTATTTTCGACTTTACCGCGCGAAGTGCGTAAATACTAATGAAGTTATATAATATAATTTTATCAGTTGTTTTCAAATGATTTGGGAGACTTCCTTCGAATTTCCATCTGCCGATGAGCGCAAAAATAACAATTTTCCTGACAAATCCATCAATAAATAAAAGTTAATCTATCTAGCATACTCGTAAATTGCGCCACCTTTCAATACCCAACCTTTAAAGTTTATCGGTAAAAATTGAAATTTAAATGTAATTTCGATTGCTCATTTTTTACTCGACAACACTCGGAAAACCCTACTGCTGAGTTCTTTGGATTTCGAACCGATCAAATCAGACACATTTTTCCATTCAAGAACGTAGCTTGAGTCGCTTCTCTCACTTGCACCTATACGAGTCTAAGAAAGATGCGAGATGGTTGGCGCTTCGCCACGTTCCAACTTGGCATGAATTAACTGGTTGTGAGTGAGCCAGACACTTTTCGGCGGTCTTAAAAATTTTAAACTCCGCAATTCTTCGATAAAATTTTTTACAAACGAATCATCTTTGATGTAATGAAGTAACAGTGGTTTTGTTGAACAATTGAACTAACTGATTTAGAAAATGACTCAATCGTCACATCATACATAAAATTCCGATAAGTTGGTCATTGTTATATAGTTGGATAGGCCAACATTCCTGATTGTATACGTCATAATTAACCTGAAGATTGAAGAATTGCTTAAAGCGTGTTTGCATTTTACATTTTCTACTGGAAAATATTTTTCTGTTGCGTTAAGCTTCGTTAAAATCTGCGGAATCGATGTGAAAAGCTGTTTGTTTAACACATTTGTTTCTTCCAGTTAAGCCCAGATCGAAATCACCAGCCAGTCCGGTTTCACCCACTCAATTGCCGGAAGAAGCAAGGGAAGAAATGATTCCGGAACGACGATCACCCCCCTTACTAACTGACGATGGTCTCATAGCCCCTAGAAAACCCATAAATCCCGTTCGGGAAGATCCGGGAAGACAAAGTCTTCACAGGGAATTATTATTTAATCAAAAAATGTAAGTACAGGGTGTGAAACGTGTAAGTATCTCTACAAAAGTTGGTAAGTCTTTAGTTCAAAAGAAATCAGTTTGATTTTCTTCGGAATATTTGGGCTCCCGTCGGCGTTAGTTCAAACCGTAGACTGATTCTTTATTGAAACTGTAAACAAAAATATTTAAATGCATTGAAACTTTAACATGAAAAAAGAACCAAATCCAGTAAGTCTCAATTTTCCATGTCCTCTCACTAATTGCGCCTGGAACAACCGACTAAAAGCAACGGCCTGGATTTTTCCAGCCGAAAAAGCGGATTGTTGCAAAGTAAAACTTGTCTTTTCAAAGCCGGCAGTCGAGTGATGACTATCGAAAAGTAGCAAAAAACACTTCCTGGCGAGTAATTCAAGGAGTGGAACACAAAAGAATGCACCAGGCGGGCGAATGTGTCTGCATGCAAAGCGAATCTGGAGCACACTTGTATTTGTTTGACTAATGACTAAGGTATAGAGGCGCGATCCAGATGGAATGCGTTTACATGCTCAACGCTTCAGCGGACTTTTAAAACAACGCGTTTAAAGGGGGGTTTAAACTTTAGAGGGTCGCAGGACGAGTGCATTTCGAATCACTACTCAAACACATTCAAGCTGATAGAGGAAATGGGAGAAACCCTCAGAAAGCCAAACAAATTCACATTGAAACTTTGCACTCACGAGACTTGAAATGCTTTCTGACTAATGTTTGTGACTATTGAAAAACGACATGCTGATTGCTTCTATTAACTAATTCCATACGTTAAGTTAGCAATTTGCCTAATGGCAAATGCACTTTCATCTTCCGAGAGTTAATTATGTATTACTATGGCGGTTACATCTACATAAGAACGGATGCTGCAATCTGCAATGCATACTCGACGTTCTTTCGTCATTCCATCGTTTAATGAGCGCCTGTTTTATGCCGGATGTTTTCACCTTTTTTCTTCGCTTTTCTGTGCTTTTTTCCGAGCGTTCTTCGTCTGCGCCACATGCTTGCTCGGTTAGTTTACCGTTCTAATTGTTTCTGGTTGATCTTTAGCATCACTCTAGTTACAGTTGTGGTGTGGACTGTATTTTGCGATTTTTAAGATCAATTTGCAGGAAAATGAGTTAAAAAACCTTTAAACTTGGTTCTATCTTATTGATTTTTTATTTGACAAATAGTCGGTGTTGACAATTTGACATCTGTTGACATCGACACATTCCCTCTCCTCTCTTTGCTTAAACATAAGCGAACATTTTTCATTACAGTGTTGCCCTATACACGAATAAGAAGTTCAGTGTTGCCATACATGTTAGGTCGCACGGATATTTGAAAATAGTAAAAATAAATAATTCCCAACACTAATGTTTGCCTATCAATTTCAGTGGAAAAAATGTTCTGAATCAGAAGTCGGAACTGCAAAGAGCGCTGGAAAAGCACAAGGACAATGTGGCTAAAAAGCAACTGGAAAGTTACGTTGCTGAGAAAACCCCCGAGTTAGAGAAAGTGATCGCTGATCGAGCCAGGCGACTGGAGAGCCCCGCTAAAAAAGACGTAAATCAATAATTACGAAAGAAGTAACGGGAAATTAATTCTTTTTTTTAGAACGAAGACGATAAGGTCATCAACAAGGAGTTTCTCCAAGCCAGAATGAAGCTGAAGTCTACAAGCGAATCAAAGTAGAGCATCGAATTTTCTCAACAGTTACATAGCAAAAATATAGATATATTTATTGTTAAAATGAATATCAACCCCCCAATAGAGTGAGTCGTAACACTCACATATGAAAATGTGAAGATTTGCTACGGCTCGCTTATAAGGAAGCAGATCTTTAAATCAGCAAACCTGTTAAGGTTTTTTTCGTGTAAGTTATAGCAACCCTTCTAGTAATAACGGTTTTGTATATGTAAAGTGTTAATGTGATACATGTAAGAATGCGACCTAGTTAAGGAGACTACAGTGTATGTGTTGCCTATTTTTAAGTTAGGAATTAGTTTGTTTCACTGTATATTAACTCGTATTAGTCAAACATCCATACATATTTTTCTTACAAGTTTTTTTATTTTTCCTTATCCTTTTCGTTTTTCCTTATTCTTATTGTATTGTGGATTTTATACAGCAAATTTAATTATTATTTTTTTAATTAAGCCGCCGCCATAATTGCAAGAATCACAAAAGCCGCCAAGCCGTCTGGACCCGGAGATCCGAGCTGCAGATTCCTGCAATCCCATCGTCGCTTGCTGCTAGCCTGACAATGACAATCGTCTGAAAACAATGGCCGAATATATCAGATGCAGTTTCTATTGATTTGAGTGTTTTCCCTGTTTCTGCGTAAAATATAATGTGATTTTGTGGTTCAAATTGCGCAAAATGTGGGTGCCGACTAAGACAAAAAAATACGGCGTTGGTGAGTTTGACTTTTTCTTATACGACTTTTTAGGGGTGCTGTTAATGTTGTTCATTGGGTGTCTTGCTGCAAAAAGGGGGTTTTCTGCGCTCTTTTTTGCTTAATTTTTGTTTTATTGTTCTTGGGCCCTCGCTGAGGCTCTACCCTGTTTTTGCCAACCATTGGCCCATTGATTTCCTTATTAGCTTGATTGTTATTGGAAAAACAATTGGTTTATTATTGTTATTAGCGCTGTAACAATATTGCATTAAACGCTCCTGCTTTAATTTAACAAGTATTTCCAGTCCCAATCGCACATCCTAAATCGTCACTCTTCAATCCTCTGGTTGGAATATTTGTTTTATTTTTAAGTCGACTTCGGCTCTACCAACTTCCTGTGTAGGGTTCTCGTCAAGACATTTACATTTCAATAATCAGGCACTGTTTCCTCTCGGCATATGACCGGAATGTGTAATTGGTATTATTTAAATTGGGAGCCTTGTGGTAGCACCTAAGCTGGTGGCTTTAGTTTCGACACTTTTGTAAGGTTTTTTGCTCTAATTTTATTATCGCAATGTCCCAACGAAGATAAGCATTAATCCCTTATCTTATTTGCCAGGCCTGTCTTTTTCTTGCCATTGTTCGATTGTCTTAATGGCTTTAGTTGGTTTGTTCAAGAGGTTTAATAAATATAAGATAATTTTTCTTGTGGTTAGTTAATGAGGAAGTCCAACAGTCATTGGGGTTTAAATCAGTATATCCGCACAGATAAGTTAAAGATAATCTTCAGTAGTTGCGTTAGATGTAACTAGAATATGTTTCTGCAGCGATTCCACAGATCGTCTTTTGAAAATGCGTAAATTAGGCAGAACAAACAGTATTGAGGATTTCCGTCAACACCACACTTTCCGATGGGTGGCTGTAGACAGGGGGAAACCCTGAAAGTAATGATACTTTTTCATCCACTTTTTGCGTTTTTTATAACAAATATTGCTTGAAAAAAATTGACTTTGCCACTAATCCCATTTTAATTATTCTATGTAGCAATTTACAATTGGAGAGGTGATACGCGATATGGCCTGCCTTTGGAAATTGGGGACACCATCCAGATTTTGGAGGAATGCGAAGGATGGTACAGGGGCTTTGCCACGAAAAATAGAACCCACAAAGGCATATTTCCGCAGAACTACGTTTTTCTAAAGGTAGTAGAAGCTGTTACTTTTCTACGCAAGGTTTCCATTAATTTTCGTGTTTTGCAGCAATGCAAAGTCGACAATGAAGGCCTTTTCGAGAGTGTCGTTCCCGTAGAAGATCCAGTTGTGCGCGAAGTCACTCTAGTTCTTCGGGAATGGGGCCGAATATGGAAGGATATCTTTGTGGTAAGTGAACCGTTTTCACCGGCTGTATGGCGATTATGATGATTTACTGTTACTTTTCCAGCTAAAGAATCACTACAAATTCGAGACAGTCGGCAAAGTGATGCGAGACTTGTTGGAATGGCGAAGGCAGTTGGTTTCGGGTACTTTAACCCACGATCAAACCAGAGAGTTGAAAATCAAGATTATTCAAAAAATCGACTGGGGAAACCGGTAAGTTTTTGCAATTGTTCTGATAAGAAATGGCCAAAACCCGTCATCAGTGCAATCGCGATTGCACTTTAATAGACAACAACGGGCCACTAAGCGAATTTTGCGCGTTCAGTGTTCCACTGATAAAAATATCAAAACAATAATCAGGATTGTGATGATTCAAGTGTTTGATATTTTGCAACAACAACGGCAGTACTTTTGCCATACCCAGGTATTGGAGGCAAAATCTTCAACTGTAGATTTATGAAAGCGTTGCCAATGATTAAGGATTAAGGCTGATTAGCATTGCACGTAATTTAACTTCCAAAAAAAACTATGACTTTTTTACAGTATATTATCGATCTAAGTACATAGAAATCTACTAACTACTGACGGGCACAATTCAATTAAATACTTATGCTTAATTTGGTCCCATAAGATCACGACCTCGCTTATTACCTTTAGCCATACAGCAAAAATACTTTAAAAGCAACTAAATTAATAAAAAAAAGTGTTTCGTTATATGCATGAATTGGCACACATGAACCTATGTAGTACTGGATATGTCTAAATTCTCTTGTCACCTAAAATTACGCAATATGCTATTCAGCTTAAACGACTACAATGAATAAATGCATCTCCGGTACGGTTGCACAAGAAAAATGGAATAAATGTAGGTAAAACTAAACTTAGAATGGTCCACGTACTTCATATGTACAGGTTGTTTTCGGCAGACCAATATTAGGATGCGGGACTTCTCTGCTGCTCAATTCCAACGTACAATACTATATAATTATAACTAACTAATATTGCTGAGACAATATTGACACAGATAGCACCACGACACAAAATACTTTAACCGAACACATTTAAGCATGAGCAAATATAAAAATAGCATTTGAGCTAATTGAGTCATCACTCTCAAGAATTAAAAGAATTTCCTACAAATCTATAAAGTTTCTTAGCGATAAAAAAGGTTTCACTATGGTCAGTCGACTACTTATGTTTCGGTTTCTTTTACAAACCGCTCAATTTCCGGATAAGTCGGAGTCATCTCAATGGTACTGGGAGCCGAAGGAAGATTGCCGCTGCTTCCGAAGCTTAGCCTGCGCACGAATTCTTCCAGAATCTCGCCAAATACCAGCACATTCAGGTTTTGGCCCAGCAAGTGAAGGAGCAGGAAGTCTCCGACCTGAGAATATTCAAAGCGGGTTAAAACACTGCGGTTTTAAAAACTCCAGCAGGTTTTACCTGGGTCTTCTTAACGATAGTGTCCACTGCTTTAGGGGTGCCAAGTCTGAAGCGCCTTTTCAGGATAGTTTCACGCACGTTAGGCAGCAAGATTACCGCAGCTGAGTAAGCAACAGCCACTGCCGATAGAACAGCGATGATGATGAACCAGAACCACAGGAATATGTAGATTTTTTCGTTGAGAATGTTCAATGCCAAGACGCACAAGGCGTCGAATCGCTGGATTGAGCCAGAGGCTCCGTACTAGAAAGCCCGCAGCGATTACTCAAAAGTCCCTGGAGTACTGGGGTTGACTTACTTTGTGAAACGTGCATTTGGTCAGTCTGGGAAAGACCGAAACCATTGGATCCGTGCGATTTTCCTGATTAATTCCCGAAAAGCTCAGCACTTCGGTTCCGTAGCTCATGAAAGTGCCGCCGAGGAATTTGTTGGTGTAATACATGTTCAGAATCTGCAACGAGTGAGTGAGTGAGGGCACGAGCCAAGTACTTGGACACTTACGACATTGATGAAATTGAGGAGTTCGCATGCAAAGTACCCGATGGCGTAGCTGTTATGTTGGTGCAGGGTTTCAATCAAATATTGCACCAGGCGGCTTTGTCTTTGCTCCCGTCCTGCCTTTTCGTTAATCAATAGACCTCGGAGTCCTTCGGAGATCATGCGGATTTTCCCTTCTTCCCAATTCTTCCAGATCCAGTGAGGAATGTAGAAGGCGATGCCCTGCAATGAGGCGGGTTATTCGGAATCCGTCCCGGATTCAGGGGGCTGGTGACTTACCTGGAAGAATAGAACGAATGGCACCCATTGGTAGTAGCTGTGGTACATTTTCTCCTGGTTCTCATTCCCCAATCCGGGAGCGGCCACTTGGCTCCCGACAGTTTTCCCTTGCTCATGAGGCAGAGTGAAGGTGTACGTTATCCAGCAGTAGGTGTTGATTACGTGGCCGGGAACTCCGCCATCGTTGATGCATTGAATCGGTTCACCTGAGAAGGTGTTTTTTGTTACTAGTTCGGGGCAAAGAGTGCAATCATTTGCTTACCAATCAGGTTGTTTGCGGTGATAACAATGCAGGAAAGAAACAGAATGGCAGAAGTGATGCGGTAATGAGCGCGGAAGATCATGTTGTCAATATTGGCTTTATCGACTAAGAAGCGGACTTTGACGAAGCCCGCCACTGCGGAGGCCATCCCAAGAACCGTCATTTTCGTTTAGTTCTGCAAACCAAAAAGGCTGGGTTTGATTAAAAGTGGCAACAGACCTGTATTAAAAATTTAACTGATTAGTAGCAGTGTCGTAATTGGTTCTAATGCACGCCCATTGTCTAGGCAAATGTGATTCAAAGCGCGCGGGATCAAATCCGGTAGATGCATATGAGGAATTGCGCCTATCTAATGCTGATTATATGAGATTGTGTCTGGATTAAAATGTGTTTGCTGTTTCGTCGATTTATTGCGAGCGCTTGCAGTTGTTTTGCTATTTTTTCACTTGCAAAGTCCTTTTTATTGAATGCGAATCGCGGCTTTTGGACGAATTAATTGGTTGAAATCGTCCTTTGCTAGATTTTGCATCTTTGCGATCTGCGGAGAATCGCTTCTTTCAAAGGTCGCGCACTAATTCCCGTTATCACTGATTACATTTTCGTTTTAAATAGCTTGTGGTGTTTTGATGTAAAGTGCCGAGTTTTTTGCCCAAACGGGTTACTTTCGACTTGTAATTGTTGATTTTATTACGTAAACCGGCAGTTTTGGTTGATTATTCACTTAAAGTTCATTTATACCAAGACGGTGAAATGTGCCAGGCTTAATAACGCGTCCGCGTAACGTTTGTGGCAGTAGGATGAGATGAAGCCCGGAAACCAAACACTTG